TTATTTTTATATTTATATATTTTAAAATTATTATGAATAAATAGTAAAAATAATATTTTTAATTTTTATTTTACATAGAATTTTTATTTTCTTTACATAAATTTTAATATGTAAACTTTTTTACATTTTTCAAAAAAAAATCTTATCAGAACTTTTTTAATATAAAACCTATTTAATAATTTTTCTTATTAACTTTTCTTGTATTTTTATTTACCAATTTTTTACCAAACATAATAAAATTAACAACTTAATAATATTTTAACAAAATTTTATTATAAAACTCAATAATTTTTAATATAAAACCTTGAACCGAACACACCCTAAGAGGACTTTTGCGTAGAGAGGCAAGATTTCCCTTATTTTTCTCCTCACATAAATTTTTTGTTATTTGCATATATGTTAATTTTCCATACCATTCATGCCCCACCTTGACTTCGGAGCAATATATATATATATATATATATGTTAATATCTTAATGTTGCGTTTGGATTAAAGAGGAGAGTGGAGAAGAATTTTTCCTCTCCATTTCTCTCATTCTTTCTACCCTCCTTTTTCCTTCAATTTTTTTTTATAAAACTAAATAAATAATGCCACCCACCCCCTTATTCCCCTCAATTTTAACATGCTACAATAAGCGGCTTGTTAAATTATGTCAATTGTACCCAATTGTCCCTTTATATACTTTAATTGATATTTTTCTCCCTTTATCGTAAGTAAATTATATTTATGTCAATTAGGGTGAACATTTTCAAATACAAATTAAATATAAATTATATTTAATATTTAAATTTAAAATTTTTAGGTAAAATTTTTTAAATTTGATATTCACCCATACTTTAAAACTTATACTTGATACTTAACTCAACAAGTACCAAGTGACTTATAAGTTTTATACTAGACCTAGCAAATAGGTCACATTGGGTGGATTCGAATTGGATCATCTCAGATCTCAGGTTATTCGGATTGAATAGGGTAAACCCAACTTTTAAAAAATTAAAATTTTTCGATATTTTTCTCTATTTTTCTTTAATAAAACCTAACACTAATTAACTATTTAATTAAAAAACTTTATTACTAATCAATTATCTAGTTAGAAAACTTATTAAACGTTAATTTCCATTTCATAATTCAATTTTTTTACCAACCTCAAGAAAAGAAAAGGAAAATATTAGTGATTATATAGGTGAAACTAAAATATATGTCAAATATATAATACTTATACAATATTTAAAATTCATAATTTCATAAAAGTATTAACCTTTATTAAAATGAGAGACATGAAAGATTAGAGTTCAAAAAACAAATCCAATATATATTAATATCTAGTGCTATTTAATATTTATAAGAGTATTATATATAAAATGCAACTTTATTCAATATTGAAGAAGGTATTATACAAAAAAATATAGTTTTATTTAATATTAAAATTTAAAAAGTAAATCCAAAATATATCTGACTAAATACAAGAAAAAATTGGATCGAAATTGATTTTTACTAATTATGAACAAATTATTAATTAGGAACAAATTAGCAACTCAAAATGGACTTTGATGTTTTTGATGTTCTTATCTTTGTACTTCAATGATTATAACGATACCTTAACCACCAAGTTTTGATTTTCAGTAGATATTTTTGCTTTTTATTTTAAAAAAATGATTTTTTTTATAATGTTATATAACATAACTCATTATGTATTACACAATCTAATTTTTTAGGTGAGTGCTACCAAAGAGAAGGATTAGAGAGTGATTAGAGAGTTTGAGATGAAGAAGGGGAGAGCGAGAGTGGTGAAGAGGAAAAGTTGACAGAAAGTTGACAGAAAGTGAAATTGATGAGAAATTAGGGTTTGAGTATTTTATTTATTTCTAATTTTAGAATTAGAAAATTAGAAATTTAAATAATTTTTAAGTAATCTAATATAAAATAAATAAATAAAGTTTGAGTCATTTCGGGTGACCCGACTCACCCATGACCCAACTTATTTGGGTTCGGATAATTTCGGTCCGAGTCATTTTAAATTTCAAATTAACATATAAGACCCATGACTCTACCTATAACAGATGGGTTAGGTCAAATTTTTGTATTGGGTTCAATTTTGCCAAGTTTAGTTTATACTTATGTACTTGTTGAATGATATTTTATTTTATTTTTTAAAATTAAAATTTAATAAAATATTACTTACTTTCAATCCACACTTAAATAAAACTAATAAAAATTTAATAAAATATTATTTATTACAATCTAAATTTAAATATAATTTAAAATAATAATAATAAACTAAAATTTAGTTTCATAACTAGAACTCAAATTTACATATTATTTAAAAATTAAATTTAGTTAAATAATTAACAATAAAGAATGAAAAATATATACTTCAAAAATAATAAATAAAAATAACTTAAGGGCCTATTTGGTTTAGTTTCTTGGAGTTTCGGCTTTTTGACACTATTTATATCTCATAAGTTTAAATATTTCTCTTAAAAACTTACATTAAAAAAAAAACTTAACCTTGAAATGATCTCAAACAGTTAAAACTCAAAAGTTTCAAGCTTTTACTTTTTATAAATTTCTTTTTTATTCACTTTTTTCTATCTTTAAAAGCAACTTTAAAATTTTTCTTTTAATAAAAATTTAAACTTATCACTCATAAACAATACAAAAAAAGGTAAAAACTCTAAAAAGCTCCACCAAATAGCCCTAAGTAACAAAATGAAAGTACTTCAAAAAAGATGTCTTGGTTTTAGGCTCATAGTCCCCCTGTTCCTTTATTTTAGTTTGCGATAAAGGAATAGTAGCTAATTGTATTATATCTATTTTAACATCTTAATATTCATGCTTTTAATTTATGATTTTTATCATGTTAAATTTGGAGTTTGAAACCAAAAAATCATCTATATAATAAACAAAGATTATAAGTTAAAAATTGCTAATAAAAAAAGTAAAAAAAATCAAAATTTGAAGTTGTATATACTCACTATTACCTAATAATCAACTTGGAAGGTGCACTTCCACCAACATATTTGAATAATGCTAGTTCCAATCCTCCTATCCCTTAAAATTTGAACTTCATTTAAATGAAAAAAAAAAAAAAAAAGAGTGAAAAGAAGGTAGAAAATTGTTAGTTGCATGTGTAATGTAATACATGTTTAGTTTATGATTTGTTATTTATAAGTTACGTGTCTAATTTTTTTTTTTTTTTTCAAAATCTAATATTTTTGTATTTTATAATTTTTAAAAAATTATTGTTATTATATAAATATTAAATATAATAAGTAAACATAAATTTTCAATTGTATAAGTACAAGTAAAATGTCAATTAAATAAAACAATTAAACAAGTTATGTAAACAATTCTAAATACTTATATTTACTACTTAACTTGATATTTGTAGTTATACTATTTTCATATCCATAACTTAACCTAATTTTTTTATAGTTTAGATAAAATACTTAACCAAACATGTAAAATACTTATAAATAATAGATGTATTGATATCCAATGTTCACCCCTTCTCAACATAACAATGACAAAAATAGAATAATAAAATAGTAACAATCATGGTGACTCATGTAATTAAATTTTATCTATTTTAAGCTAATTGTAATAATAATATTAAGTTTATTGATTAAAATATATGGAAGGACTAATAATTTGAAAAACAAATAGTCAGAGAGTTTCTACTGCCTATGGCTATTCATCTCTCGCTAGTTAAAACTCAAAACTTGAAATGGTGTCGGGGCCCTGGTGTGATATAAATAAGGGGATTTGGGGCCCAAAGAAATTAAGGAGGAGGAAACGATTGATTACAGTCATGACTGGATCCGTGATCCCAACTGTTCAGATTAAATTACAATGGGCCTAGATTTACTCCATTTAAAGGCTTTACGACAAATTTAGGGAAAACTCTCACATAAAATATTCCACTTGCACAGATGACATTATTGCTGATTTTTTAAGTAAGGAGAAGGCAAATACAAGGGTACATAAGAGTATCAATGACTTAAATAGTTTAAGTGGTTAAATCCTGAGTTTGAATCGTATGGCATATGGATGAGATGAGATAAGAGATAAAAGATGCTTACCTCTCATTATGCAATCAAGATAAAAAAAAATTAAAAAAAAAGGTACACATGGGTATGATCTTTTCATACTCAGTACTTCACCAGTTTTCTCACAGGTTGGTAATAACACTTATTCCGAGAAGTAAAACACCTACACAGATCGGATGTTTCTGTACCCAATGCTCACCCTAGTTTGGTACCTTAGCATCTGGACTTGGGCTCACAATCCATACAAGTGATATTCAGTGTTGATAGTAGCCCATTGATTTCAGCCCTCCGTAACCTATCCTACCAATCCTTTGCCTGATAAAAAAAAAAAAAAAGGAGGGGCATATTAGCTCTAAACCCGAGGATGGGGATCTTATTAAAAACATCAATACCAGCTAGAAAATGCAAAATATAATTCCAAATATCTTGTTATGAGATACCTTTAAAATAATGTTCCCAACATGAATGATAATAGTACAACACAATCAACCAGCACTCCACAAATGCAAGAAATGCATTGGGGAAGCTGGAAAGGTACTTACTTTGGTCTTTTTTGGGCATAGTACTCTATATGGTTTGGTTTAGAGAATTCCACACCCCACTAAGGAAATTGAAAAAGGGAAAGGAAAAAGAGACTTCAAGCAAGCAAGAAAACTTATCCTTGCTCATGTATGCTGGCTTAATACACTGGATCAGTATTGTGCCATCCCTTTGTGCACGGTGGGATGCCCATAAACTCCTCAAATTCCTTCACATGAATGTCACAGCACTTCCACTGCAAAATTGCAGGTAATTTAAAATAACAATTATAAAAATAAAAATAAAAATAAACTCACGATCATACTCCTAAACTTGGATTAGAATGAAGACATGACAGTGAAATTTTATCAAAACGCAAGACAATAAAAGAAAAACATCTTGCTCCTCTCTGATTCTATCATGGAAAACTGCAGGTCCAGGATGGTAACTGCATGCGATGTCATGATTATCCTTTTCTTTGAAAACTTTACCACATCCTTTATTTTTGCAAGTTTGAGGCTGGTTTATATCAATAATCTTCTTTGGTGGAGCAGAAGAGATCAAAACATCTGCAGGGCTTTCAGCAGGCCCAGGTGTTGCTGTTGTTGGTTTGGGCTGTGAACCTAAAATGCATTTAACATGCTTCAGCTTGGAAAATACTCAACATAGATACCAATTCCTACTAAAGGAAATGAAAGTAATATACGATTTCCAGAAATAAACCACGAAATACAAATTTAAAATAGTTTCAATTCCATAAGATATCCAACTTGGTACCCACACAAACTTCTAAAACTTGATTCTGAGTCAAGTTTAGAGTTTCAAACCTCTATAATAATTACACTCACTTTCTCATTTACCAGAAAAGAACCAACTCATCAATCATATTGAGTATTGATGCATTATCTGAGTGTTAGAAAATATGAAATAGTAAAAGAAAGGAATTATTCTTAGGCATGATCTCATATTCTTTAATAATTTAAAATCTTTCAAAATACAATAAAACTCAAAACTTTTTCAGAATTAAATATAAAACTCTGACTTTATATTGGAATTTATAATACTTGAAAAGTCACTATTCGTAGAGATGTGACTCTCCAGAAAGACAACATTTTATAGAGGTACTTTTTGACTGTCAATAATTATATATGATTTTCAGACATGTTTTTCTAAATTTTAATTTAATAAAATAAAAAATCCAAAAATAATAAAAAATTATTGATGTTATGATAGTCAAGCCTCAAAAGGTGCTCAAAGGAATTATCTTTTGATTATATTTAAAGAGGTAAAACTCTATTTACCTTGAATTTTACTTTACTTAATTATTTATAAATAAATAATAAAATTTTATAAACCCCTTTAAATTCTCATATTTAAATGTAAGATCTTAAATATTTACAAACTATTAAACACTAAGGACATTAACCAGGCAAGAAAGTATCTCACAGCTCATTTCTAACATAATAAACCAGATATAAAATACTAGAGTAATGTTACGTGAACGAAACCACGGGACGACAAATGAAGTAGGGTTAAATTGATAATTGCTGTTGGGACTTGGGACTGCTTCACTTATCGTCCCGTGATTTCGTCTCCCAAAATCGTCCCGTGTATCATTACTCAAAGTACTAAAGTCTAAATAATTGTAGGAAGTGCATGTGACTAACAGGACCATGATTGGTGGCAAAAGCAGAGAGAGTGGAAGTTCTAAAAAACTTGGGAAATTTGCCAGAAATAATAACCACATTAACCCAATAGGAAAAGCAATATATAATCTGACTTCCCTGTTTTACAGTCACAGGAGCCCTTGGATGGGGTACAGTCTCAAAATTAGGAGCCCGCCTCCATCCAATGGTAAGTTTCCTGTCCGGTGTAGTTTGCACTGAAAAAAAAAAAAAAAAAACTATTTTTGAATCTTTAAAGAGATGAAACAAAAACTGAATAATTATAGTATCCAGAAAATCAATGAAGGCATACTTAAACAACAGACTTGCATAAATAAAAGGCCAAATCTATACTCCATAATTCCATATTCCATAACCCAAATCTAGAACCAATTGTAGCTTTTAAGGCAAATTGATTTTCCATTCAAGTCGAAAAAGTTGCTAATGATTTCAGATTACAGGAACTCAACACAAGAACCAAAATTGTGTTCTACTATGTAATTACTACGGTTTTTTCTGAAGTCAAAATCAACCTACGAGAAATCCAACTGAATTGGCTGTGAAAGGAGGAGTCAACGGAGGAATACCGACTGGTGGTATTTTGAACCTTTGGGATTATCGTCTTCAGTGAACGTAGCGAAGCAGCTATGGCACCGGAGCTTATCAGGTTCCTCTGCCACGGCAGAAAGCGGGCTGGAGTTGGGAGTTCGGAACTTCAGTTCCAAATTTCCAAGGTTTCCCAAAAAAAAAATTGGCTCGCGTCTCTGGGTTGGGAGCCCAAGCCCCAAAGACGAGTTTGGGAACGGATTGGACCCAATTGAGCTTTCTGGGTCAACCCAAATCCCCAGCGAATTTCTAGAGGAATCGAATTCGAGAATCTGGATTTACCGTACAAGACAACGTGTCGCATACTGGATAAACGGCATCCCAGACCGAGCGTGTTCTCCACACGTTCATCACCTACTTTCCCATCGCTAGTTAGCACAATGACCTTCGGAAGGTAGAGACACTGAACAGGAAATCTCCCGAGAGCGCGGCGACGGAAAGAATTGTTCCCATGGCGTCAGCAGCGAGCATGATCGGTGCTGGGTTCTGTTTCGGGAATTCATCAGTGCTGGGGCTGAAGCAAAGTCCCAGATGTACGGTGAGGCCGAGGCGCATGGTGGTGGTTAGAGCAGAGGGGCAAACCATTAACTCTGAGATCAGGAAGAACGAGGAGAAGGTGGTGGACGCCGTCGTCATCACCGAGCTCTCCAAGCCCCTCACCGCTTATTGCAGGTTCGTTCCTTTTCTTTGTTGATAATGTTAATACTAATAGGTATCTCAAATTTCATATGCTATATTGCTTTTGGTTATGTGAATTGACATTGACCACTGTTGCCCACCGGAAGTTTCATTCTTTGAGAGGTACCGGTGGCCTTTCCTGCTAAGAAAGGCTAAACCCAAATCAAATTAATTGCATTTCTCCGGTGGGGTTTTTAATGGGCATGGCAGGATGCTGTTTGTTTTCTTAAAGTTAAATTCAAGAGATAATTGATCACCACTGTGATTTGAGAAGGGAAAAAATGTTGATGTTTAGTTGTTAGTATTATCTATATTTACTTTGGACACGGTTCACACCGGCTGCCGTGTTAATTGAGCTTGAGTTCTTGTGTATCTTGTCATTGTGTTTGAACTCCCCTTCCCTCCCGGAAAGCCAGATCATAAAATTTTATGTTGCCGAGTTTCATCAGACTAGAGGAGCTTGGTGGCTTGATTACATTTATAAATGCCTCTGGAGTGTTCTGTTACAGTCCTGCATGCATGATTTAGATCAATGTTTGGAAAAATTCCTGTTACCTGAATCCATTAACAATAATCAATGTCAATGTGTCATCAGTAGATACTTTTGATTGATGTAAATTAAGGTGGTATTTGTGATTTTCTGTGTTAATGAACAATATGATGTCAGTTCTGTCTATGCATGTATGCTAAAGTAAGTTCTTAAGTTCTCATTTTTTGCACATACGGGGAGGTGAAGAAGGGGGTGAGATCTGAACCTTGCACCTTGCTCTCCTTTAGGATGGGTAATGGCAGCTGTGGATTAAACATAGGTTGTTAAATTGTGAACTTTCACCATGTTGGAAATACCTCCATCCCACTTCTGAAAAACTTTTGGTGGTTGGTTTGTGGCAACATGAGTGTTGTTACGAGCTAGAGAGCTCATCAGATAAATCAAAACTAATTTTATCAGGTTATTGCTACAAGTAGAAGATGAATTTGCTATAAAAATATTATGATGATTTCATATAATTAAACAGCCTAATTGTATAGAGAGTAGAGGGAAAATAACGATAGCCTGATAGCTTATGAATGGACTTTTTTCCTTGAGTGCCTTTGTTTCAACATTTGGCTGCGTTTGAAGATTTGATTGTTGGGGTTTTGTTTGTTTAAACACAGATGTTGGAGGTCAGGAACCTTTCCCCTGTGTGATGGAAGCCATGTAAAGCACAACAAAGCTACTGGGGACAACGTTGGACCTTTGCTCTTGAAGAAGCAATGATAATAATGTCCTGGTATAATTGTTTTTTGTATTAAATTTGGTTACTGCCAACTTCTAAATATTTCATTGTATGGACAATGTTTAACTTCTTTCTTTTACTTGAGCTTGTGATTGCGTAAGGATTAACAACCTATTTTTCATGTTCATCATTGAGGCCTTGTCCACAATGAATTTATTAGTAAATCAGTATTATCTTATTAATTAGATTTATTATCCTTTTATTAATTCAGCTAAAAAATTAAAACTTGATCAATAAAAAAAAAATTTCTTGTACGAATTAAGTCATAATTTTTTTTTGGCCATGGAGTAGTTTATTCTTTGTATCATACTATTACGTTTCTGTTTTAGGGTGCGTGCCCACTCTCATTCTAAATAAGACAACCGTCTTATTTAGGTCCAGTTTGATATAGCGGTTTTGGTGTAGCGGTTAGTGGTTTCACCTAAACCGTTTAGTAAATTTATATATTTCGAAATCGTTACAACTAAAGTGTTTGGTAAAATTTTTATTTAGTGGTTTAAGACTAGCGGATAGCGATTAGAGTCCAAATTGCCAGTAGATTGAAAAAGCTAGTTTATGTAACTTTTTACACCAAACCGCTAGTGGATTA